TCTTGGCCAAGATAATTATTCTGGACTTGTTGGTGTGCCATAGAGGTGTACACAAATGATCTACATACTGGTTTTCGGTACAGTTTCCGGTACTTTTTGATTCTTTTCTTTCTTCTTCCCCATTCGGTGGAATGGTTTATTTAGAACTGTTTCCGGTGGTGATTTACTAAATCCTTCTGCAAACGGGCACTACCGGAACCGTCTATACGAGGAAGAAGGAAACGGAAATCACTATGCTTTTACATGGAACTTCCGTTTTCTTGTTCGTAGCATTCTTTAGCATCTCAGCTTTACCGGAATGCTATATTTTCTTCACATTGTTTTCTCTCATTGTACCAGTGACCTGCAACAGGGTATTCTAATAGGGTACTTCGGGGCTCGGCTAGACCGGAAGGAGAAGAACAAAAATCGTCGTGCCGGTTGGGCGCGGGGAGGAGCGGGGCAGGGTGGGGGCAGTACCCCGCTCCTCATGTTCTTCTCCTTCCGGTCTAGCCGAGCCACGGAGTACCCTATGGAGCGCTGCCCGGAACTAAGAAGAACAAAAGCGAATACAGAGAGCGGTGGTGGGGGCGGGCGGAAAGGCTCCCCTCCACCTACCATCCCCCACGCGCCCGCCCCCACCGCTGCGCTCTGTATCCGCTTTTGTTTTTCTTAGTTCCGGGCAGTGCTCCATCGAAATACCCTCTACTATTAATTCTCTCTCCAAAAACATATTCTTTGTCAGCACTAGAAACTGATACTGTGAATTTGGGGTGCCCTAGGTTAAAATGGACGTCCGTAAGAGGTGACGGGGTGGGGGAGCAAAAAACAGAGTCCGTATGGTTTATGGATGATCCCCAACAGGTCTTTCTGAACTCCCGTAAGGTCAAGTCGAGCAATAAAGCATTCCGGTGAGGACGAGGTACACAACGAAATAGACCATTCCACCATCTAGGAAAAGACATGAATTTATCATGAAGTACCGGAAACAGTACCAAAACCAAAATATAGATCATTGTTTTACACCTCTGTGGCACACCAACAAGTCCAGAATAATTATCTTGGTCGATAAAACAAGAAAAAGTGAACGATTTGATCTGTGTTTCAATACTGTTTCAGGTGCTTTTGCGTTCTTTTCTTTTTTCTTCTACATCCGGTGGAATAGTCTATTATCCATGTAAATGCATAGCTTATTCCGTTTTCCTCTTCCGTTCATTCTTCAGCATTACAGCTTCACCGGAATGCTTTACTGGTACAGACTTTTGAAGTGGTTAATGACTGCACACTCGATTTTGAACTACTTCCCTTTCGTTTCGAGGTAACTTCTGAATATCACATGAAATGGCATACTTAATTTTTTTTTTCACTTGGACTTATTCGTTTTTGAGTAGCAATGTATTTCATTTACATCGGTAATATGAAATAAAAGTCCTAAATAATGCTTCTAATACTTTCCCACCGAAACGGCATAAAATCGTGATAAATATTTCGCTACAAGCCAATCGTAACCTGAAGAGCATGACTGCTCGATCTGTTTCCCTCTGCACGTTCATTGGTTGACCGCCACACCGACGCAATAGACCCTATTCGGTCTCGGCTAAAAGAGAAGACAGGAATCCCGACCATAACCAGTTCCGAAAAAAAACACTATTTCAACGTTTAAATGGCTTTGGAAGGTAGAAGCACAATCCACAAGGTTTTTGATAATTTTTTATGTCGGGTTTGCAAGTTTTCTCGCGAAGAAATGGCAGGATAAAGGTACTGGTTCCGGTCGGGATTCCTGTTTTCGTCTCCCGGAGCCGATACTGAATAGGGTCTATTGATGCCGAAGAATCCGAATACTGATTTTGTAAAGCTTTCCTGTAAATCTAAAAAGATGAAGAAACGGGGTTTTCTCGTTCCCCGCATTCTACTGCATTTCAGCTTTACCGGATTGCTTCATTGTAGCATGGGCTACTACGTGGCATTTCCATCAGTAGTTATTTCTCAATTACTTTTAGCCTTTTGAGTGTCCATTTCGTGTATAGTTCGTTCTATTTGGCCTTTCTTTCGAAATATTTCGCATTTATTCTGAGGGAGGCATGCGACCTGTTTCTCAAGAGACCGTTCCACCGACTGTGGAAGAAGAAAAGAATCAAAAACCACCGGAAACAGTATTGATAAACAGATCAAATCGTTCACTTTTTCTAGTTTTCTTGGCCAAGATAATTATTCTGGACTTGTTGGTGTGCCAT